AAACTTACCTGTTTAATGTTTCCAGAACTCTTTTAGTGAATTCTGAGTCTGGGTCAAGGCAGAGCTTGCTTTTATCCTTCAGAATGACACTGCAGGAGATAAAAAAAACAGGTTAATTCAAACAACCTATAACTGATGCTATAGTAAGTCTATCTAATACTTTTTTTGTTTCTACAGATACTTACATTACTTCATGTTCGTTGCAGTATGGACGTGGTTTATACTCTCTGACATGAGCGATGAGTTTGGGCCTCACTGCTTTGTCTGTCTTCACACACTGGCATTTCTTAATGCCTGGGGGAACAATGATGGAATATATTAAGAATGGATATATTCATGAAATAAATGCATCATATTAATTCAAAATTAAATTTATGATTGGTTTGATACTTAAAGAAAATGCTTGCAGAGCACTTACTTGCAGAGGTGCAGATGGTGATGCAGGCCAGAAGAACGATGAACTGGATCGCAGAATTCATCCTTGTGGCGAATGGTGACTTTTTTTTAGAGTTTATCTAGCAGTGATGAGGCTCCTCTTGATGTGAAGTGTTCTTCACTGCTGAGGCTGTCTGACTGTGAAGCACCATGAGCTTTTTTTTTTTTCCCTTCTTTTTTTTTTGTTCCTTTGCCAGTTAGGCTTTTTTGGGACTTGAAAGGAAAAAAAAAAGAATCCTATTTTCCCGACTTTCACTGGCCCAGCACCTTTTCTCCTGAATCTCGAGGAGACACATCCTGCACATCAGAACTGTGTCGAAACTCAGTTGCTATCAAGGCAGTTTCCTTGCTGCTGATATAAGATATAGATCTGCATCTGCTGGCAACAGATCTCTTAATCGTCGCAGTGCAGGTTGGAAATATATATATTTTTTAGTAGTGTGCTTAACAGTTATTATTTTAAATGAAGCAAACAAGACATAAATCTACATTTAACAATCAAAATTATGTGTAGAATTCAATAATACATGCAATTGTTGCACATAACCACGGAGGAAAAAGGAAAATTAAATATGATCTTCAAGATCCCTCTAAAAAAATCTGTGCGAACAACTGCCTCCCTTTATACTATTTATTCATGGCTTTTAAGCTTAAGGAGTGCATTGGTCAGAGAGGGATCCACAACATTCGTTGTTGTCATGATCTGGCCTGTTTGCTCCTCCCTAATTAGTAATTCCTCTCAACCTGCCCTCTTCCTTCCCTGCCTCAATTA